AATTTGACCTCAGTAATGAGGTTAAGGCATTCTTGGTTGGTGTATTTTTTCCTCTGTTGCCTCGTGCATTTGTCTCTCTGCTTGCCTCTGTAAAGTCTAAGTGTGGGTGGGGCCAGGAACTCCTGAAGGGAACCAGCTCTCAGAGGGAGGGCCACTGAGCCTCCTGGTGGCGCCTACAGCTCCTTCCCTCTGGCATTCCCACTTTTTAAGCTCTTAAGCTCAGTAGCAGGCCCCTCCTTTCAGTTTTATTTTGTTTTGTTCTTTGCAACAGGGTCTCACTTTGTAGTGGTGACTGACCTTGAGCTCACTGTGTAGCTCATGCAGGCCTTGAATGTGCAAGGATTGTCCTGACTCAGTCTCTTGAGTGCCGAGATAACAGGTGTGCACTATCACCTTGCCCAGCTCCTTTCCTCTTCTCATCTTCACAACCTTTAGCTGTCCCCCCCAACTTGGTTGGCTGGGAGTCTATCAGTAATGACAGTAAAACTCAGAAATGCCTGATCTTCTAGTAGGAAGTCTAGGTTGGGGACTCCTTGTGTAAGTCACTAAAACCCAGTTAGTCAATCTCCACAGGTGCCCCCCCACCCCAATTCTTTCTGCTGACCTTCAAAAGCAACAGTACAGAGTTTATAGCTCCCTTGTATTTGTACCATGAAGCAGATTAGAAAAAAGTTATTTTCTTAGTTTGGGGGCAGAAGGAAATACAGCATTAAAAGCGAAAGAAAAAAATTACTTTTCTCCTTTTTTTTTTTTTTTTTTACAAATATATTTTATTTTGCCTTTGCCTGTAAACTTTTAAACTTCTCTTGAGAACCAAGGCTGTTGCTAATTTGTCTTTTAAATCTGACATCATATTTAGGTGAGGCTTTTATTTTTGGATGGGATGGGTTTTAAAAATATAGAATGCTAGGACCAGGGATTTAGCTCAGCGGCATAAACATCTGCCTGACAAGCACAAGGTCATGAGTTCGATCCTAGTATCAAATATATATATATATATATTACTTCACAAATTCAGATGTTACCCTTGCACAAAGGCTCTGATAATCTCTGTTGTTCCAGTTTTACGTGCTGCTGAACTTCTTATGCCTATGTATTAAAAAGGCTTAAATCTTGTGGTCAAGCTAGTCAGTTTTGCTGACAGTGACATAAATAAAAGCCAACTTAGAGTGGCTCATTTGATGAAACACTCAGTTATACACAGCGTAGAATAGAGTGGTAATCAATGAGGAAAACTTTCTGCTAAAAAGTCAGCTCCTGATTTGTGCCAGACACTGGGCTGAGCTTTGGAAACTCAAAGAATAAAGGAGGAGACTGTCACATTACTTTCTTTTTTCCCACTTGGTCTAGGTCCTTGGTAAAGTTGTCCAATTCCCTGAACCACAGCTTCCTCATTTTTTTGAGAAAGGAAGAATACTTGCCTATAAAGTTGTGCATAGTGCACCCTTCGGCAGCACATATACTAAAATTAAAGTTGTGTCTAGTAAATGACCCAACAGTTCATTAGTCACGGTGGTGGTTTAAGACCCGTACACTGTCTGCTAAGGTTAGACATTAGCAGTGGAGCCTGCACAGGTAGTAAGAGATTGCTTGGCAACACTGGAGGTGCTGGGAAGACCGGTTGCTGTGTCTCCCAGCAGGGACTTGAGGGACCAGATCCCTAGGAGGTGGAAACACTTAACTGAAACTTGAAGCCCAGTGAAGGATTAGCTGGCAAAGAAAGGAGGAAGGGCAGCCCAGGCTGTGAGAAGCCTCCAAAGGACCCCTGCTGAAGTCCCAGCTGAGGAGAGGGGGCAGCTGGAGAAGGGTAAGGTGGGCTTTTAAGAAAAGGAAGTATTTTCAGATTATGACGAGGTCTCTTTGGGTTGGGTGGGGCTTTCCCTGTGGAATATGGTGTTGTGTTCAGGGAGCCAAGAACAGTTCCTACCCCATCTGTTCCCCCTGTGGTGAGATCTAGGTACACTCCCTGGAAACCCACCTGCTGTTTCCCACACAGCTGCCAAATCTCACTTTCTGAGGAAAATGCTCCAATTTCCTTTCAGATTCTTGTATTCTGACTTGCTAGGGATGGAGATGGCCAGATTTTGATGCTGTGAGGAATGGAAACCTCAATGCAAGGCATGTGTGTTGCAGGGACATGAATACAGTATATTGATGTGATCCTGAGGATCTAAGAGTGAAATAATTCAATTATAATTCTGCTGTCACCTGCAAATTCTTGAAAAAATTCTTTCATTAGCTCTAATGGCCTTTATTCCAGATATCAGGACTTTTTAGGTTGTTCAGAAAGCATTGTGGTGAGGGCTGGGGATTTAGCTCAGCAGCATAAGCGCCTGCCTTGAAAGCAGGCAGTCGTGAGTTCCATCTCTGGTACCAATGAAAAGGAAAAAGACAAAAAAAAAAAGCATTATGGCAAATGAGTTAGTCTGCTATGTCCTTTATTCATCGGGAAACTTCACGCAGTGAGTGCTTTCCTCTGTTCGTGCGGGGGAAGAGGCCGAGCTTTAGAGAGCTTGTAGGTGGTAGGTTAAGGGGGTGCCCATGTCCTGCTGTCCCTTGCTTTGAAAAATTGCACTTTTTTTGCATAATTAATTTGTGGGATTATTTTGATTCTCTCTCTCTCTTTTTTTTTTTTTTTTTTGTCTTTTTCCTTTTTATCATACCGGGGATTGAACTCACGATTGCCTTCTTGCAAGGCAGGTGCTTATGCCGCTGAGCTAAATCCCCAGCCCCGTGATTATTTTGATTCTCCATTCTGCCCCATACCTTATTTCTGGTCCTTTATGCTAAAACAGATGATTTATCTGAGATTAGCACTTAATTTGGGGTCTTTGGTTTTTTTCTCCCATTTAAAAAAGTCAATTGTGGGGCTGGGGATTTAGCTCAGTGGCATAAGCACCTGCCTTGCAAGCAGGCAGTCATGAGTTTGATCCCCGGTACCAGTAAAAAGGAAAAAAAGACAAAAAAAAAAAAAAAAAAGTCAATTGCAGAGTAATAGATGATAGGGTTTTTAAGGTGAAATTTAAAAGTGACTGGTATGGTGGCACATACCTGTAATGCCTGCTGCTCGGAGGCTGAGGCATGCAGGATGGAAGTACAAGGCCAGTCTAGGCAAACATGGTAATACCCTATGTAAAAATGAAGATTTAAAAGAAATGGAGGAAGGGAGCTCAGTGGTAGTGATTTCCTAGTATTCCCAAGGCCCTGGGTTCAAGCCCTAGACTTGAAAAAAAAATGTCTTTATGGCACTGGGAACCAACTCCGGGCCCTTCATACTGAACTACACCCACAGCCCTTTATTTTTCCTTCTGAGGATGGTAAGCCTTCCGTATCAACAGAGTCTGACCCTTGGTGAATTGTTTTGCTGCAGTGCTGGGGACTGAACCCAGGAGCTGCATGTGGAAGGCAAGCATTTACCACTGAGCTCTACCCCTAAACCCAGTGTGACTGCACTGTACTTCCGAGGGACACAGTCACTTACACACGTAAATGGAGAGGGAGGAAGTGAAAAGGGAGGCACAGTGTTGTACACTGTAGGCTGGATAGGAGAGCCAGTCATGTGTAGGTCCAGGGAGAAGTCAGAAGCGTCTTTCTAAAAGAGCTGTAGCAGAAATGATTTTGAGCACCTTAATTTTTTCTGTGGTTTTAACAGTTCACACTCAAGGGCGAATGGATTAAGAAGCAAGGTCTGGCATTGTTCCCTTGTTCTGCTTCCTGGTTGCCATGGAACTACATAGCTCAGTTCTGTCAAACTTTTCTACCATGGCAGTTCTGCCTTGGACCAAAACATGGACTGAATCTCCTGAAACCCAATCATGGACCGAACCTCTCTCCTAAAACTGTCAGCTAAAGTAAACCTCCCTTCCTTTAAATTGTGCATGTTGACTCTCATGTCCCAGTGCTAGCAAAAGTGACTGATACATCTAATAAAGAACTGTTATCCAAAATATGCAGATTCTTAAAGGTCAGTAATAAAAAAAAATTAAAAATGGGAAAAAGATGTAAAGGTAAGTTTTATCAAAGAAAATATAAGAATAGCAAAATACATGGAAATATGTTTAACATCAGAAATCAGTTTGAATACTTAAATCACTGATCCAAAGATGTTATTGTAGTTAAAATTATACCTAATAAAATTGATATTACATTGGTTTAAAAAAAAAAAAGAAGCAAGGTCTTTTGTTCTAGATTAGTGATTTCCCAAGGGTGGTGCCCAGACAGTGGCAGAGCATTACCAGAGAGTTTGTGAGAAATGAAACTTCGCTCACTGTAGCAACACATGTCTGTCATCTGTAATCCCAGTACTAGGGAGGCTGAAGGAGGACAAGGGCAGCTCAAGGGCAGTCTGAGCTCAGTGCGGAGAGGGGAGATCCTGGAGTGGGGAGATTTTCTTCTCCATACCATCCCATACCTATTCCATATTGAATCTGGCTTTTGTAACACAGAGGAGTGTGAGGTAGGACAGTTAAATGGGTAGTTATTCTGCCTACTTACATAGGATGAGAATAAAGTGAATTTTTTTCCTACTTGACAATAGATTCTGGTCTTGTAAAACTAGCAACTTTTTCTGTGCCTGCAGAAATATTGATTTGACTGTAAATACTTATAATAAAAATGCAATCATTAAAAGTTAATAGTATTTGGGGCTGGGGATTTAGCTCAGTGGCATAAGCACCTGCCTTGCAAGCAGGCGGTTGTGAGTTCAGGGGTTCAATCCCTGGTTCCGATTAAAAAAAAAAAAGTTAATAGTATTTAATGAGCCCAATAAATATTTGGTATTTATATAGGGTAACCCACCACCACCACCACCAAATTAAAAGGTATACAATAGGGGCTGGGGATTTAGCTCATCGGCATAAACGCCTGCCTTGCAATCAGGCAGTCGTGAGTTCGATCCCCGGTACCGATAAAAAGGAAAAAGACAAAAAAAAAAAAAAAAAAAAAAAAGATACATAATACTGATTGTCTTTGGTGGCTGTTTTTTTTTTTTTTTTTTTTAGGTTAAAAACGTTTCTGCTGGCACACAAGACATGCCCCCACCTCCATCTGACTATGTGGAGAGAGTTGATAGTCCCATGGTGTACTCTGCGAATGGCAAAGTGAACAGCAAACAGTCCTATCCAGAATCTTCCTATAAATCAACACCCTCGTAAGTATCAGCTCCTTACCTTGACAGAATGAGTCAAAAAATGAATATTTGCATCTTTAAAATCAGTTGTTAGAACCGGGCGTGGTACCCTATGCCTGCAAACTCAGCATTCAGGAGGCTGAAGCAGGAAGATTGCTGTAAGTTCAAGGCCACTTTGGGCTACACAGTGAGTTCAAAGCTAGCCTGAACTACACAGTGAAACTGTCTCAAAAATAAATACATAAAATTTTAAAATTCAGTTGTTAGCTAGTATACTGGTGCATACCTGTTAATTCCAGTGTCTTGGGAGACAGAGGTTAGAAGATCCCAAGTTGGAATCCAGCCTGGATAAGTTAGAAAGATCTCATCTCTAAATGGAGTGGGGATATTACTCAGTGTTTCCTGGGTTCAGTTTGCAGTGTGTATGTTGGGATAGGTGGGCGGGCAATCAGTTGTTTTGTACCATTCTCCTTATTTAAAAAAATATTGGTTGGTCCGATGGCAGTGGGTTATCAGAACTTACTAACATTAGTGTCACTAAAGTTGATATACCACCCCCCCACTGCTAAATTTGACTGGCTTAAAAAAAAAAAAAAAATCAACCAGAGCCAGGTGGAAGGATTGCTGTGAGTTCCAGGCCAGCCTGGGCTACATAATGAGTTCAAGGGTAGCCTGAAGTATATAGCTAGACTGTCTCAAAAAAATAAAAACTAATAGTACCCACAAGTGCTGGACTTGGATCTATTTATATTTATGATTTGGGAGTGTATATATGGTGGTACCTTGGTTCATGAACTTAATTCTTTCCATGATTCTGGTTGGAAGCTGAATTAGTCACAAATTAAATCATAGTCCATAGTTAGGCTTAATGTTGACCTTATGGGAAAATTCTATTTGATTTGCAACCAATTGATTAGTGACCAGGAAGAATTAAGTTTGTGAACCTAGGTACCACTGGGAGTGTGAGCAAGAGCATGCGCAAGAGTCAGGGGTGTGGGGTTTTTTGCTTTGTAACAGAGGTCCAGGGCTACTTGGAAGACCAGGATGGAGGAGGGCGGGAGTCTTCTTGTTGAAGTTGAAAATGTGACTTTGCACTTGCTGATTTAATTAAAAGGATGGGTTGTGGCCTTTTTTTTTTTTTTCCTTTTGGTCTTTCATGGTAAGTGTGAAGAATGTAGTTCTATATGTTTCCTTTACATTTCTAGTTTTGAAGATTCAGTGAGGGTGGAAGAAAGTTTCTGAAACAGTTAAGTGTGGTTTTCATACTTCAGCTGTTTCAGTTAGTTATTAGGTTTCATGAATAGAAGGGAAAGATTGCATGTTCATTGACACTGTCCACATACTTAGTTTTGTTTTGTTTTGGTTTGTCTTTTTGAGACAGAGTCTATGTGGTTCAGGCTGGCCTTGGGCTCACTTTTTAGCCTAGGCTGGTCTTGAACTTGCAACAATCTTCCTACTTCAGCCTCCTGAGTGCTGGGATTATAGGCGTGCAACACCAGGTGGCCTTTTTTTTGGTCTTTCTGAGACAATTTCCTTAGTTAGTTCAGGTTGGCCTTGAACTCACTTTGTAGTTCAGGCTGACCCTGAACTCACAGTGGTCCTACTGCCTCAGCCTCCTGAGTGCTGGAATTACACATGTGCACCACTATGCCCAGCCCATACATAGCTGTTAAATTAGGAAATTTAATGTGTTCTAGAATTCTGGGTGCATTAGTCAATTTTTCATTGCTATTGTCAAACACCTGAAGCAGGTATCTTGTTACTTTTCTCTCATTGCACAGATAAAACACCCAACACCTAAAATGAAGGAAGGAAAGGTGTATTTAGCTTCCAGTTTGTAGAGGTTTCGGTCTATAATCATTTGGCTCTAAGGCAGAGTGGCACATGGCAGAGGAGCAACAGTTCATGGCAGGGGAAGACAGCAAAAGCAACAAGAGCAAAAACGAAGGAGTGACCAGCAAACCTCTTTCCATCCCTTATCTGGTATGCCAGCTACTTGCCCCAGGGCAGGTGCAGCACTCGCACCACCAATTCCAGCACTAGACAATGAACCAGTACAACCGCCTCTGAAAAGCCTGCATCCCGTGACCACAGAGGGAACATCCAGACACAAACCATAACAGCAGGCTAAGTTTATAAAGAAGGAGGTTTATTAGCTCACTTCTCTAGTGGTTCGAAGGGATGGACTGTCCTCTGCTCAGTTTTGGTGAGGACCTCATGACAAGTAATGAGGCATTGTAAGCGCAGGGACACCTGTGGAAGGAGAGGTCACATCTCAGAACTAGAAGCCAGAGAGTTTTTCACAGATTGGGTTTGCTCTCTGGAACCTGGATCCCCTTCCTAGGGCAGCACTGGTAGTGATGTAAAGAACTCCTGCTGAGCTCTACCTCTCTAGGACTAGGCTCTGAAAGTCAGTTTGTAGGTTCCTGAGGCTACATGCACTGCCCAACCCCTAGCTCATTATTTTATTGTATTGCAGTGCTTTACCACTGAGCTGCACCCCCACTGTCACTGTTTTTTAAGCATTTCTCTTGCTATGCACTTTCATACTAGATCAAATGTGTACTGTGTAGTGTTTTAAAGGATGTAAAAGGAGGAGAGATGCAAAACCTCCAAGGTGAAGATTTATACTGTCAGTATCTAATATTGTAACATTCTGGCAAGAGGTTTGCTTTGGTTCCCTCCACCTCACCCCCTTTCCTAATTTCTCTTGTCCTTTAGTTTATTCTATCCGTGATCCTTACCCCTCAGATAGAATTGCTGCATTCAGGTTTTGTTTTCAACTTCAAAGCAATAAGCACAGTAGCTGCAGAGTGTCTGGGAACTTACTAATCATTGACTCGTGGAGAAAGACACATTTTCCCACTATTAGAAATAACATCAAGCTGAATGTGGTGGCACATACCTGTAATCCCAGTACTATGGAGGCTGGGGCCAGGAGGATTCTTGCAAGTTCGAGACCAGCCTGGGCTACAATGAGCTCAGTAACAATTTTTAGAAAGCTTACTAAATTCTTTAACCCTTACACTATAAATTTTTTAGTTAGATTTTTAGGGTTTTATTTTTTAAACTTTTATCTTGAAAGGATAATTGATACATGGTAGTATAGAATTAATATTTAAAAGCCCTTATCGCTTGGTCACATGAGCTGCATCCTCTCCCCGAACTGGCGACCTGGCGTTCTACTGCAGAACTGGCAGAACCTGTTGAAAAGAATCATGGTCTTTATTTTCCTGACAACCTGGTGCAGAGTAAGTCATTAGCACAGTGCCAGTAAACTGCACTGATGGAGCTGCATGAACTTCCTAAAATGAAATCTGAGATCCTTTGGCTTTGAAGTTCAAAAATGTTCCTCCCCTGGAGTGCTGGGGGTGTAGTTCTGGGAATACAAAGTCCATGTTCTCTTGGAAGCTGCAAAACAAAAGAGCAGTGGAACGGGGTGTGGCGCCGAGGCGCTGCACGGTACGCCCAAAGCCGCGGTGCCGTCGCTGCCACTGCAGAGAAAAAAATAAGGCCTCCTGTCAGAATTTGAAAGCCGCGTGTGTGCGTTGTAGTTCTGAGCTGGTGCCAAAAGGAATGCAGCTTTTAAACTAGACCTCTGCTCAGTGCTAGCTGCGAACTCCTCGGGTAACTCCACCTAGAGGGTGATGTCTGCCCGTGCTCTTGTTGCTGCCTCTCATTGGCACGTGTGCTGGCGGGGTTGCACCTACTCTTGGTCACTGAGCCCTGCCTCTTCTTTTTATTAGAGTGCCGGAAGTGGTGCGGGAGCTGCCTCTGACCTCCTCTGTGGACGACTTCCGGCAGCCTCGGGCCAGTAGCACCAGTAACTTAGAGACACCTTCACAGAGGGCCCCCAGGAAGGGAAAAGCCGGCAAGCCCAAGAGAGCAGAGCAAGACCACTATGAAACAGACTACACGACAGGTGGCGAGTCCTGCGACGAGCTGGAGGAGGACTGGATCAGGTAGTGTCCCCTCCCCTCCTGCCAGCCCCTCACTTTCTGTCCAGTTCTGACCAGCCAGCTTTGTGGTTGTTGCCTAGGAACCGGGGCTCATGATGAAATTTCATTCTGCACCACCTAGGACGGGAGGCAGCACCTCCTGGTGCCCTTTTCCTGTGGTGTGCTGTTGTCATAAAGGTGAATGTGGAGGGAGTGACCTGTCTTAGGTGCACTTTGAGCTTCCCAGTGAAGTGGCTGATGATCGTCACCTGTGCTCTCCTACCAAGGTCCCCAAGAGGAGTTATTCAAATTAATAAAATACAGATACAGAGGAATTGTGTTCTGTGAGATCCATGTACTGAGGCTTAGCTTTGGCCGTTAAAACCACGATAAAACCAGAATTTCTCCTAAAGTTTGGTACAAAGAACTTGAGTAAACAGTTCTGTAAACAATTTAGTGTTTTGGCCAAGGTTGTGGTTTAAGTTCGTGTTGCTGGTTGGTTCTAACCCACTGTCACCAAATGCATGCAAGTGTGCTGTGTGGCCTTTTCTCATGCCTAAGTGTCCCGAGCTCCAGGACATAGATCAGAAATCTTCCTGGTTATGAATGCTGGTTAATCAAAAACTCTTTGCGGGGAGGGAAAAAAAAAACAAAACAACTCTTTGATGGGGCTTGAGATCCCCTATTCAGTGACAATCCTGGTGCCTCATCTGCCCTCCCCCAAAGAATTTTTGGCCTCCTTCAGCCATCTGTGTATAAACCTATTTGCCTAATTTGTATTGTTAAGATTTTAACTGAAAACTTTGAGAAACCCTAAAGTTTTGTTTTACTTTTGATACAAATCATGTACTGTCTTCTCTCATTAAAATGAAGATAGTAGGCTGACTCTTTCATCTAAATTTTGAGATTTCACATTGCTTTGAAGTGTCTTAGTCCTGTCAAACTATTCAGAGTATTTTCTCAGTAGGTTGTGAGTCAATAACGTCATCGTCTATGCAAAGAGATGCTCTTGTATTCAGGGAGACAAGTGGTGCAGAATTCTAATTTTTCTTCATACTTGAGTAAGTTTTTAGATTGTTTCTATATGAGCATGTGTGCCAGGTGTGGTGGTGCAGGCTTGTAAGTCCAGCATTCTTGGAGGTTATAGCAGGGGGATAAAAGTTCTAACCCAGTGTAGGCAATTTAATAAGACCCTGTGTAAGATGTTTTTTAAAGACTAGAGATGTAGCTCAGGGAAAAGGCCTTAAGTTCAACCCACAGAACCACATAAAGGAAGGAAGGAAGGGAGAAGTGAATGCATTGGTTTTTGGTTTATTTTTGGTTTTCTTTTGTTTTTGAGACAAGATCTCCCTGCATAGTTCCTTTTAGGATGGCCTTGAACTTACTGAATAGCCCCAGTTGGCCTTAAACTTGGGATGGGCCTCCTGCTTCATCCTCTTGAGTGCTGGGATTACAGACATGTGCTACCATGCCCAGCAAAAGCACAGGTCTCATGTGTACTTTTTTTGTGTGTGAGAGAGGTTGAACCAAGGCTTTGCCTATGCCAAGCACGTGCTCTACTACTGAGCTGCATCCCCAGCTCCTGTGTATACATTTTTAATGTCTGCTATTGTAATGAAAGGGCAAAATAAGCTATTTTCACTTAGGAAATACAAGCCAGTGTGAAAAATGTAGATGGGGTAGGAAACAGCTGCACCCAACCACTGCTCTGCCTTGCAAGATCAAAATAGGTTCAACTAAGAACTTCGAATACAAGTACTACGTTACCACATGGTGGTGTGCTAGGATATAAATGAATCCTGTAACTCTGACCCTAAATTTCATAAGTGATTTTTAACTTGATTTCTGAACATTAAAAGAAATAGTTTTTAAAAAATGTGAGTAACACAAAAAGTATAATTTTTTCTACATGCTAAGCAGTCACTGTCACTGAGTACCAGCGCAAAGGTACACTCTTTTTTTTTTTTTCCATTTTCTTTTGTGGCAGAGTTTCTCTATATAGTTTAGTTTGGCCTTGAACTCACTGTATAGTATAGACTGGCCTCAAACTCAGAGATCCTCCTGCCTCAGCTTCCCGAGTGCTGGGATTACAGATACTTGCCTCCACCCCCAAGAAACGTATAATCCTTAATAGTTCTTTGTATCCCACTTCTTTTTCTCTATAAAAAACACAACTAGAATGTCATTTTTCACACTCCACCAGCTTTATGATCTTTGAGGAAGAATATTGGATTAAATTTCTGTTAAGGACATATATGTAATTTTTCTCTTAATCCTTAGAGAGTATCCACCCATCACTTCAGATCAACAAAGACAGCTCTACAAGAGAAATTTTGATAGTGGCCTGCAGGAATACAAACGCTTACAAGCAGAACTTGATGACGTCAATAAAGAACTTTCTCGTTTAGATAAAGAACTGGACGACTATAGAGAAGAAAGTGAAGAGTACATGGTAAATTCAAACTTGACATTTGTGTGTTGCATAGAATTTGATTTTTCTTCTATGGTATTCTTTATAATGATGCATAAAAATTTTGGTAATAAACTGAGTGTGGTGGTGCATACCTTAATCCCAGCACTCTGGAAGCTGAGGTAGAAGGATTGCCACAAATTTGAGACCAGCCTGGGCTACATAGTGAGTTTAAGGCCAACCTGAACTACATAGCAAGACCATGTCTCAAAAAAACAAAACAAATTTTCTTCTTTTGCTAGTTATCATAAAACTGTAACTTCGAAGTTGAAAGCCTTTCCAAATTGCAATGTACTAATTTAGTTGAGAATTACAAAGTAATTGTCTCTCGATGTTTATCACTTAAAGTGGTCACCCTGCTTTTCTATTGACAATAAGCACATCATTCTGTATGTAAACAACTCAATAGGGAAGCTGTGAAGGTGTGCTGGAAAGCATACTGCCCTGAGTCCTATTGGTGGAACACTTCAAAGCACATTATGAAAGCCTTTGTGCAGCAGTGCATGCAGCACACACAGCCTGCATTTCAGAGCTTTTAAGTGTGAAAAATAGCTGCAGTTTTCCATTTTATTATTGTGCTATATTTTACTCACTAGAATCCTTTGCAGATAGACACTGAAGAATTTCTCCAGTACCCAGTAGTAGCGGTGAGACAGTGATGTTTGTACAGTTTTGTACTTCTGTCTGCTCCTCTGCCAGAGTGTGGCATTGCCTGCCTGGTGGTGGGTGTATCTCATCTTTGTTGTAAACCAACCCTGCAGGGCATGGACTGCATTCCCCCAGGAGCACCCTAGAGGGCGCATTGGCCCTGCAGTCCACTAGTGCCTAAACAATGAATTGTCTTTGATATCTCTTCCTCTCGCTCCCTGTTTAGTGGCATGTCATATTCGTTTTAGTAGATACTCTTTGCAGTTTCAGATAAGGTGATCTGCTTTTAGTTTTGAAGTATTTTTTCTTTGATAAAACTATTGATATTATGTGGTTTCTGTGTGGTATATGGTACTGTTAAATAAGCCTTTTAAAAAAGTATGTGCTTTTTTTTTTCAGGCAGTCTTACTTTGTAATCTAGGATTGCCCTGAACTCATTTACATAACCCAGGCTGGCCTGAAATTCACAGTGATGCTCCTGTCTTAGCCTCCCAAGTACTGGAATCTCAGGCATGCACCACCTCATCCGGCACCTTTAGTTCAGTTAACTATTTTCTGGGGTGGGAGTGGGCTACGGGTTGAACCAAGAGCCTTTACACTAAACTACATCCCCAGCCTTTGTAAAATCTTTTTAGTCTTTTTGAGGCAGGGTCTCATTATGCAGTTCAGGCTGGCCTTGAGCTCACTTTTTAGTCCACATTGGTCCCAGACTCAAGGATGTTTCTGTCCCAGCCACCAGAGTGCTGGGATTACAGTTGTGAGCCACCATACCTGGTTTTAAAATCTTTTATTTCAAAATAAAGACTTGAGGGGACTGGGGATTTAGCTCAGCAGGCATAAGTGCCTGCCTGGCAAGTGCAAGATCACAAGTTCGATTCCTAGCACCAAAAAAAAAGACTTGATAAATTTTCTAGGTTTGGCTTGAGTTTGTGGTCCTTCTGCCTCAGCCTCCCATAGTGCTAACAGACATGAATCGCTATGCTGGCTGTAGTTAACATTTATTGATCACTTATTGTATCTTTGATGTTAGAAAAACAGATAAAATCTTGTGTCTCCTAACAAAGGGCTTATATATATATATATATATATTTTTTTTTTTTTTTGGTCTTTTTTGTTTTTATCAGTACCAGGGATTGAACTCACGACCGCTGAGCTGCTTATGCCGCTGAGCTAAATCCCCAGCCCCTCTATTTTTTTTTTTTTTTTTTTTTTTTTGAAGGCAGGATCTCACTATGTAGTGTAGGCTGGCCTTAAATTTACAGTGATGCTCCTGCCTCAGCCTCCTAAGTACTGGGTTTACATGTGTACACCTCCACATGTGGTTTAAAAAACTTGTATTCTAAGAGAGAAACTGATGTGTGAACAATTTGAACAAAACAATTTGAACAATGTGGCTGTACTATGTTCACATATCATAAGAAGCGTTATCTAGTGCAGTGTATACAGAAGGGGTAAAGTTGGCTGAACATGTGGAGATTATAGGAGAAGCTTCCCAGAGCAATGACAGTCAAGAATTCTCCAGAGAGGCTATGTGAATGCCTTAATCCAAAATACTGGGGAGGCTGAGGCAGGAAGATCATAAATTGTGGCCATCCTGGGCAGTTTAATGAGGCTGTCTTAACGTACAGTTCAGTGGGAGTACACTCACCTAACCTGGCCTTGGGGATCAGTCCCTAGCGACCCCTGCCATTACCAGATGGAAGGGGCATAGAGTGCAGGATTACAGCAAAAGGAAAACATGGTAAGAATCTTGAATCATTCACATGCCTAATTTTTTTTTTCAAGAATGATACATAGCAGGCACAGAGCTAGAAAGGTGGAAAGTAAATGGAGCGCTTAGCCCACTGCTACGCAGGGACGTAGCCATTTCTGTGCCTTAGTAAAGACTTATGATGTCAGTGTTCATCAGGCCTGGCATGAGGGTGAGATAAGAAGCAGCAGAATAGTCACCTGACGAAGTGGCTCTGTGTTGGACTTCTTCAGGCCACTCAGGTGGACATAAGAGTTTTAAGAGCTTTATGACTTTGTTTTAGGTTTTTTCTTTTTGGTGCTGGGGATTGAACTCACGACCTTGCTTTTAACCAGGCAAGCGCTTGAGCCACTGAGCTAAATCCCCGACCCTTGTTTTAGTTTCTTGTGTTTATACCAGAAGCTGTCATTTTTGCCTCCAAAATATAACATCAAGAATGTTAGCATTAAAAAAAAATGAAACCAGGGATTTAGCTCAGTTGTGTAAGTGCTTGCCTTGCAAAGTTAAGGTCATGAGTTCAATCCCTGGTACCACCAAAAAGAAAAAAAAATGTTAGCATGGTGACGCCTGCTATATTTCCAGCACTTCAGAGACTGAGGCAGAAGGGTCTGTGAGCTTCAGACTAGTTTGGGCTACCTAGTGAGGTCAAGGCCACCATGAATTACATACCAAGATCTTGTCTCAAAAACCAAACTAAACCAAACCAAACCAAACCAATGTTATTCTCAGTGCTCCACTAATATGTTCCCTTGTGTTTCTCATTGATAGGCCGCTGCAGATGAATACAACAGACTGAAACAAGTTAAGAGAGTGAGTATGGTGAACTGTAAGATTCTCTCAGGAAGAACTTTTCTGTGTTTTTTAATTTAACCTTTAGGATGACTATGAATACTTTATCACACATACACTGATTATAGATAAAAGGTCCTATAATTTGAGTATAAACACTATGACTGATTGAAACTTTAATTTCACATTTTCATAGCTACAACCTATGCTAATTTTCCAAAAGATAATTTTTATTATAGTAGTTTTGTTTGTTTGTTTGGTTTTTATTTTGTTTTGTTTTGGAGGCAGGGTCTCACTGTACGGTTCAGGCAGGTTTTGAATTTATCATGTAGCCCAGGCTGGCCTTGAACTCATGGTGGTCCTTCTGCCCCTGGCTGCCAAGTGTTGGGATTACAGGCCTGTACCACCATACCTGGCTAAAAAGTATTTTCTTATTTTCTTCTTCTTCTTTTTCTGCTTGAAATAAAGTAGATTTAGAAAAAAGAAAAAAATGGTGGCTGGGGATTTAGCTCAGTGGCATAAGTGCCTGCCTGGCAAGTGTTAGGTCAGGAGTTCAATCCCAGGTACCGGAAAAAGAATGAAAACAGGGAAAAATGTATTTTCTTTTTTAAATTAAACATTCAGTAAAGTGCACAAATGAAATAGTACACTTGGTACATTTTCTTTTTATCTTTTTTTTTTTTATCTTTTTATTGGTACTGGGGATCGAACTCATGACCACCTGCTTGCAAGGCAGGTGCTTATGCCACTGAGCTAAATCCCCAGCCCCTCACTTGGTACATTTTCACAACAGGACCACACACCTGCATCCTGGTACCCATACCAATAAGTCAGTTTCCTTGTGTCCTGGCAACCCCCATTCTTTTACTCCCTTCAGTTCTTAGCGTTTTCTCTTCACATCAGATTGCTTTTGCTCATCTTGAACTTCATTTCTGTGGAATCACATAGCATGTATTTCGTGTGTGGCTGTTTTTGCTCAGCGTTGTTTGTAAGATCCAGTTATGGTGTTAGTTGTGGCTCATTTATTTTTATTGGTGTCAAGTGCTGTGTTTTATGACTTAACTTACTCAACTGTTCTATTGCCAGTGGATGTTTGAGCCCTCAATTTTTGACCTTTGCACATAATCCAGCATCACATATTTTTGTAAACATGCACACACTTGATAGGTATATCCTTCCTAGTAGGGTAGTAGGTTCATCGGTTGTATGTGTGCCTGGCTCATGACATTCTGCCAGGCAGCATCCCCAGGCTGGGCCAGTTCACATGCCCTCAGTGTAGGTAGCGCCTGTTCCTCTGTGTTTTTGTAATACTTATGTTAATGGGTCATCATTGACCTAAAATATTTTTAAAAGATTTTTATATTAAAGTTTTTATGAATTAAGAACCATAATTTTGTTTGTTCGATTTGTCTTTTTGAGACAGGGTTTCGCTATGTAGTTTAGGCTGGCCTTCAACTTATTATATAGCCTACATTGACCTTGAACTTGCAGTGATTCTCCCACCTCAGCCTCCTGAATGATGGGATTATAGGCATGAGGCACCACACCTGGCTAAAAACCATCGTGATTTTAAATAAAAGTTTTAAAGAGGCATATGTAAAATTTTCAGTTTCCCTTATCCCCTACTCACTTCCTTCCCCCATTGACGTCTTTATCTTTTTGAAATAGGGTCTCACTATGTAGAACATCTGCTCTTGAGCTCCCTTTTTACCCCAGGCTGGTCTCAAACTCATGGCAATCCTCCTGCCTCAGCCTCCAGAGTTCTGGGATTACAGGAGTGCACCAACACATCCAGCTTCCCCCATTGACTCGTACCATGGTTTCTATTTTATTGATATTTTAAAGATGATCTGTTACCAAAAGGCCAGTAAGTTGTCTTGGTAATGTAGCGAAGTTTTAGAAATGAATGCATCCTTTTTAGAAGATAAGATTGAGCAGAGTTAGCTGTCTGTGTGGTTGGTGGTACAGCCAGATGTCTTAGTGTTTGTTCATTTATGCTAAGCAATTCTGTATGACTAATCTTCCCTTTTTAAATTCGCCTTTGCAAGCTGGGCATGGTGGCACACGCCTGTAATCCAGCACTCAGGAGGCTGAGGCAGGAGGATCATTGCAAGTTTGAGACCAGTCTGGGCTACAAAATGAGTTCAAGGCCAGCCTGAACTGCCTAGTGAGACCTTGTGTCAAATAAATAAATTAAATAAAATAAATTCACCCTTGCCTTCTTAGCAGAACTATTTTAATTTGGTTTTGTTCATGTGATTCATTTTCCCCCCTCTTTAGTCAGCAGATTACAGAAGTAAGAGAAATTACTGCAAGCAGCTGAAGAGCAAACTATCACACATCAAGAAGATGGTTGGGGATTATGACAGACAGAAAACATAGAGGGCAGATGCCACGTTGCTGGAAAAATGAAGGTGTCTCTGTAGTGTTCTCAGAAGACAAACGACTGGACCAGGAAGCCAAAACTTTGTTATCATTACAGAGTTTTGGTAGCATTTGTATCATCAGTTTCGTATCATCAGTATTGAACCATTTTATAAATAACTTTTGATAATCACTTGGGCTGAACACTCCAATTAAAAATTTTACAGTTTAAACATTGGTTTCTGTGTTAACAAATACTGGGCCAGGCTTTATGCTGTACTATTTGTAATCCTTGCACTCTAGGAGGCTGAAGCAAGAGGACTGCAGGTTCAAGCCCAGCCTGGCCAACTCAGCAACTTAGTGAGACCTGTTTCATGTTCGTTTGTTTGTCTGTCCATCTGTCTGAGACAAGGTCTTACTGTGTATTCTGGGTTGGCCTGGAACTCACTACGTAGCTCAGGTTGGCCTTGAAATTACAAAGCTGGGGATGTACCTTAGTGTGAAGGCTCTGAGGTCAGTCCCCCACACTAGGAGAAAAAGAAAGAACAAAATACTGCTCCGGGGTTTAAACCTTCACACCCTAGACAGTGGATACCTAAGTACTTCTTATCACATAAGCAGTCTCACTAACCCTACTAACAACCCTTCAGATGACTTACTTACAATTTCTTTTCAGATAAGGAACCTTGGTCCTTGCTATAAGTCTCTGAAATGAAACTACTTGTTTCAAGCATGCAGTTTTGGTTAAGTCTGTTTTATAACTCTTCTAATAAGGTTTCTGCTTCTCATATTTTAGCTACTGTGTATACTGAGTTCTACCAGCCCCTGTATTTGTTACTATATTTAAATGGTTAAAAAAGGATTTTTGTTTTATGTTACAATGGATAATTAAGATCATGTAAAGTTGAGATCATGTAAAAATTAGATGTGTGAAATTTAAAGACTATAAATATTTAATTTTTGAAAATCTAAGTTTAAATCTAGTGGTTACAGTTTTGTGTATTTTTAAATACTTTTTATCTTTTATGGTTTACATGTGTTTTTTATAATCAACTCAACATTTTCACTATATCAGTATCTGATTAAATTTATCTTTTAATTATGACTTGAATTATATCTTCCAGGAATGTTCAAGTTTTATAAATGTTTTGTAAATATTAAGCCTGGTATTTTTTCTGTATACTATATCTACTTAACATCATTAATATTAAGCTGTGTAATACTATACTCAGGAGTTGTCTCTATTTCAAACTAATTTCCCAATCCTTTCATTTTAAGAAAGTGGATGTATGAATGCTATCTCATAAAACATCAAATTATTTTAAATGGTGCTCCATCTTTGGTTTTTTTTTTTTTTATCTTTTTGAAACAGTCTTGCTATGCTGTTCAGCCTGGCTTTGAGCTCATTTTGTAGCCCAGGCTGGTCTGGAACTTGAAATGATACTCCTGCCTCAGCCTCCTAAGTGCTGAGATTACTAGTGTGTACCACCATGCCTGGCTTTCATTCTTTTTTGAAAAGTGAAAAGTTTTTTTAAAGTCAAAGTTTTATTACTAAAGTAAAATTAGTTGATAATTCTGCAGTAACCACGGTAGTTGTGTCCATCTAATTTCTGATTAAGACTTTAAGAATCTTTTAAAAAATAATCTTTAATCTTTAGTGTGTAATTCAAACATTTGAAAATATAATTATTTTCCAAAGATAAACTTTATTTTTTGATACAAGGTGTCACTGTGTAGTTCAGGTTGGCCTTGAACTCACTATGTAGCCTGTGCTGGCCTCAAACTCTACAGAAGTCCTCCTGCCTCAGCCTCAAAAGTACTGAGATTACTGGCCTACACCACAATGCCTGGCTGTCCAAAGATCAACTTTTAAATAATGTTCCCATGTAACACTGATTCATTTCTTCAAATTGAAGAAATTCTTAGTTTTCTACATGTGATACATAGTGCAAAGTATATTTTCATAGCTTTTAGATTTATATCAAATGGAAAGACTCTTGAAATGTCTTCATTAAGTTAACTTCATTACGTTAAAGTTTTTAACTCCTTGTTCTTGGAAGTTTGTCAGTGTTCTCACAAAACAGATATTCTGCCGAATGCAGAGAAGGAAATAGAGTCATATGACTGTAAACTTGTGATATAAAATTGGATTTTGAAATTTAAAAAGTGAGAAACTACATTTTAGATGTGGTACTTATTACTAAAGATTACTTTAGGAGCCAGGATCAAGGCATTTCTGTTGGTGTTGACATTAACTCACTGGATGTAACTTTGTAAAGCTATGCCTCAAATTAGTTTCCTAGTCTGGAAAATAAGAGAATGAGATTCAGCTTCAGAGATTAGATTCTCTCCCATCTGTCATTTGTGGTTCATGTGTCTCCATTCTATTTTCTACCATGAATTACTGTTCTGAAGAATTTCTTATGAAAACATTTGGTCCATCTTCTAAAAATTTCCCTGAGTAAAGTGATGCCCTAATTCATAATTTTGTATTATAAAACTGGGATCAGGAGCTGGAGATTTAGCTCAGCAGCATAAGCGCCTGCCTTGCAAGCGCGAGGTCATGAGTTTGATCCCCAGTACCGATAAAAAAAAAAAAAGAAAAAGTAGGATCTGTACTATTTTATTTTGAAAAATGTAAAGAAATACAGAAAAGTATAATGCATGGACCTGCCACCCAGAAATAATTTGTTGTATGTACTTTGTATTTTTCAAAATGCATTTTAGTATTTATAATAAATAGTAATATTGTACATATATACTCACACATATACACTTGGAACCTCATTTAATTCTTGGAATACTCTTGACATGTAACCATTTCTTTTTCTCGGTTTTTTTTTTTTTTTTTTTTTTTGTCTTTTTCCTTTTTATCGGTACCGGGGATTGACCTCACGACTGCCTGCTTGCAAGGCAGGCGCTGATGCCGCTGAGCTAAATCCCCAGCCCCTTCTTATTCTCGTTTTACAGATAGGAAACTAATGATTTGATAGATTAAGTGGTCCATTGTTGTACTAGCAAATGGCAAAACTGCAGATTGGAAACACAGTCTCTTCAACTCTTAGGTCCTATGCTTCCACCCTAGGTAGGCTTTGTTAATTAATGGGCTGTATAATGTAAGATCGCTCTGACATGTAAATAAAGTATTCTGTTTTAATGTTGAATTCATCTGAAATTTAATTAACATGAACTTCTTACTATAAATATGTGAAAGACTATAAGACCTAAATGGCTTTATGGCCCCTGTAAAGAAGGGTCAGGCAGAGGATCACATGTTGGAGCAGTTTGAGCAATTTAGCAATAACCTGTTGCTGAACTGACTTAGCAATGCCCTGTCTCAAAGTAAAAAAGGGGTAGGGCTGTGACTCAGTGCAAAGGCCCTGAGTTTATCTTCTATACCAAAAAGTCTTGGACCCAAGGACTCTGGCTTCCTTTGGGGCAGTGGGAATTGCTTACACACATTCTCCTGCTGGTCCACTCTGGACCTGTATTTTGTTTTTTTTAATCTTTGTACCAGAAGTTGAACTCAGGACCTTGCTCTTGCGTGGCAGGCACTTGTGCTGCTGAGCTATCTCCTGGGTCTACCGCTCTGGACTTTTTCAAAGGCTCAGCTGCAGGTGCCAGGACGCTGTGGGCTCTTAGGTGTCAAACTCCAGTTCCATTTCAGAAGCTCAGCTGGAGAATCAGAATTAAGCCACACTGTTCTGGCTGCCTGAGATTCTGTTACACCACACCACACCATCCTGCCTGAAATAGATGCAGGACTACATCAGCCTGCATATGTTTTACATTGTTAGCAGTTTTCCTAATGGGAAAAAAAGGTATAAAAAGTTAAATAATTTGGGCAAACTTTAAAAACAAATGTATTACTAAATTACAATCATGGCCCTTTGCAGTTTGAAAAATAATATGGATACGCATGCGGGATTTTTTTTTTTTTTTATGCAGGATGTTTTTACCTGACTGAACAGGATGTGAGTGTTCCACGTTGTCATGGGACGGGCTTGCTGTCTCTGTTGTCCTGTTGCTTTTCCCTCTAGCAGTTACTTGACAGGGGTTACTGGGCAGGTTGTTTAGCCTCCATGGACCTCAATTTTGATTCATCATTTGTGGAGGGTGCTGGGGTTGAACTCAGGACCTCGCTCTAGCCAGGTCCTACTTTATTATAAATGGGACAGATAACCTGAATTTTAATGAAAATACTGACAAACACTTTCAACCATCTTCAATTTTAAAGAGAATTTTAAAAATCCATAAAAAATACAGAACTTCAAAACAAGATAGGAAATTAACAATGCTTAATATTATATTGCATATTGTGGTCTTCAAAACAGTTGCTGTGATTACCAGATGCAGGACTACTCCAATAGAAGCAGTTAATGTTCCTTTCGATGACCTATGAGCATTAGTAGTAGAACTGTCTTAGGTATCTGTGTGTGTACACACATATGTATATATGTAACTTTTTCCTTCCTTCTTTTCTCCTTTTCCCTGTCCCATTTCTTTCCTCTTCAGCAGTTTCATTCTCTTTCAGAATATGCGTTATAACTTTTGGATCTTATTTACTCTTTCAGTTTCTTACACTAGGGAGACAACATGTTGTTTACCCATATTGGTCTGTTTTATTTCACTTGTAAGTATAAACTCTAGTTGCATCATTTACCTGTAAAAGCCTTGAATTGATCCATCTTTATAGCTGAGGAATGCTATCTTGTATTAAAATACCGTACCCTAGGGCCAGGTACTTAGCTCAGCAGCACAATTGCCTGCTTGGCAAACATGAGGTTGTGAGCTTGATCCTCACTGTGAAAAAGAAACAGAAAATACATTATGTCATTTTTATGCTTTTTGCAGTTGATGGGCATTTGAGTAGTTTCAAAGATCTATTACAAATTGTGCTGCTATAAACATGGATGAACATATGTCATTGTGGTATGATGTTTTTAATTCTTCTGGGAAAACACCCTGAAGGGCAATAACTTGGTTGAATGGGACCTCTAGTCCTAGTTTTTGGAGGAGCCTCCACACTGATTTCCACAGTGCTTGTACCTATCTACATGCCTAAGAGGTTGGCAAAGGATGTTCTGCCTCACAACCCCGCCAGTACTGATTATTCAGTGATTTTTGATGATAGCCATTGTTTCTGGGGAAAGGCAGAATCCCAGGACCTGATTTTTTCAGTTCTTTATATGTTCCAGATACAAGTCCTTTGTCTGAGGAACAGTTGGCTGGTTTTTCCCAATATGTGAGTTTTCTTTTCACTCTGTGGGTGACTTATTCTGCTGTAAATAAAAAAACTTTGTAATAAGATGAAATTCCAGTTGATCCTTGAAGTACTTCCTATGTAGTTTGTTCTTGTTCATGAAACCTTTGTCTACTGCCATGTCTTCAAGATTTCCACCTAATTTCTAGCAGATTTCATATTTCTCTTTTAATATTTAGATCTTTGATCCATTTGTGCCAGGGATTTAGCTCAGAGGCACAAGCACCTGCCTGCAAATTGCAAGGCCATGAGTTGGATCCCTGGCACCAAAAAAAAAATCTTATTTGTACTTTAGTGCATGGCGATAGCCAGGGGTTGGTTTTTAGTTTTAGTATTCAGCATATGGAAAAAAGTTTTTTCAGCACCATTTATTAAAGAGGATTTCTTTCACTGAACATCTTTGGCTCCTTTCTCAGTGAGAGTGTGGCTGAGTGTAGGTTGTGTCTGCATCTTTTCTGTTCCAATGATCCTCAAGTCTGTTTGCCAGTACCATGCTAATTTCATCACTGTAGCTTTGTAGTATAATTTCAAGTCAGGGATTGTAAGGTCTCTTGCTTTGCCTTTGTTGCTCAGGATTCTAGGTCTCTTCTGGTTCCAGATGAATTTTAGGAATGTTTTCTCTAGACCTCTGAGGTACACTAATGGTATTTTGATCAGGATTGTATTAAACCTATACAACAGTTTTGGGAATATGGACACTTACACAGTGTTGGTCCTTCCTATCCATAAGCAAGGGTATCATTCCATTTTCCAGTATCATCTTTAAACTCCTTTTTCAAAATCCTGTAACTTATACTGTATAGATCTTTCACTACCTTTGTTAGAAGGATTCCTAAAAATCTCAGTTTTTTGGATACTATTGTGAAAAGTGTTGTTTCCCTGATTTCTCTCTCACTGAGTTTGTTATTCGTGTACAAGAAGTCTACTGACTTTTGATCGTTGACTTTGTATCCAGCTACACCTCAGAATTTGTTTACTAAATCTGGAAGTGTTTTGTGGAATTTTGGGGGTCTTCTAAGTAGAGTGTCTTGTGGTCTCCAAATAATAATTTCACTTCTTCCTTCCTTAGTCCTCCTTTTATTTCTTTCTCTTGTATAATTGCTCTGGCTGTTTCCAGAACTATATGGAACAGAAGTAGTGACAGTAGATATCTTCACCTCGTCCCTAACTTTAGGTTGAAAGCTTTCAGTTTTTTTCCAATTAGTATGATGTGGGCTGTTGGTCTGTCACAGAAGACTTTTTATCTGATTGAGGTAAAGACCATCTACCTATTCCAATTTTCTGTAGGATTTTTTTTTAATCATGAATGTGTGTTGGACTTCACCAAAGGCTCTTTCTGCATCCACTGAGATAAGCATGTGGTGTCTGTCCTGAGTTTTGTTAACGTGCTCTAGTATATTTACTGCTTTGCCTATGTTGAACCATCCCTGCATTCATCCTGGGATGAATCAGAGTTGGTCATGGTGTGCAATTTCCATGATGATTTGCTGCATTCCATTGGCCCAGCTCCTGAGGGCAGCCTAGCCAGCAGACCATGAAGGCTGAGATGCTTGCAGAGAAGCCCTGACCCTGGGGTCAGCAGGGAGCTAGCCACCTGCCGACATGCCTCGCCCCTGCAAAGCACGAGGTGCTGCCCTACTGCCCAATGCCACGGGCTTCATGTCCCATCTTCATATATGCCTATGCATCAGCGTGGGCAGTGTCACTGTGCATCCTGTGACAAGGCCTCTCCGCCCTAAACCTTTGCTATGGCTGCACCATCCCTACTGCCCCGCGTGCGGAAAAGCAATGGAAGCCCTTTACCTGGGCAACCCGGTGGCAGACGCCATCTTGCTGCCCATCATGACCCCAAAAAGGAGCAACTTCCTGGCCAGCACACAACTTGGTATGGACAGTGGCTGACAGCTGTGGGCGGGACTTCCCTGACGTCACAGAGGCAGGGAGCCGCCTGTGGTCACCGCCCACTCAGGGTGGGTCTGAAGGGCCCCGCCCTCTCCAGCCTGGGAACTGGATCTTGTGCTTCCTATTGTGTTTTGCACCAGAGGAGTTCCCATCCTGGCTCCACTGTGCTTGGTTGAGCTTACCAGTTGGCTAGGACTAAGTAGCTAGTCCCAGACACCCAAATATCTGATTTCAGTATAGTTCAAATTTTAGTCTGGAGCCAAATGACTAAAACAAGCTTCTGTGATTTCCTGAAATGCACAGTCTTTGATAAGCCTCTGGATGCCTGCGAGGTCAGAAAACGAATGGCCACTTTGGTTTAGCAGGGGCCTCATCGTATTCTCTCGCTGATTGGCATTGCTTGATTTCAGCCGATTTGCTCGGCGGTTTCCAAATCTTGCGAGCATCTTAGAAACATATTACTGAGCCCAAATACTGGCTGTCTGATTTAGTACGTATTTCTCTTAAGTCGTTGTTCCTGATAACTGCTGCCTCTGCTTCAATTTGGAGAGAACTCAAAAGTTCACAGATCACAAGGACTACTCTGATTCAGTATGTATGTCTGTAGAGAAGAGCACAAGCTTTGTAAGTGTTCAAAACTTCTCTAAGCAGCATGTATTCTAAAATTAGTCGGATACCATTATTACACAAGCAAAGCACATAAGCAAAGTTCACAGAAAAAGTACAAACTGAAGATATTAAAAGACATTTAACCTGCATTACTCTAAGAGAAATGTAAACTATACCTTAACACTTTTCACCTGCCAAACTGGCAAGCACACAGATTCACACAACACAGGGGAAACTATCTGTTGTGCTAACTTGGGCGGCTCTGATATGTGTGACACTTGGTCAGCAGTTCCGTGTTAGCAGAATGGAAAAGCAAGGTGTGTTGGCCTTAGAAATACTAGCTCTTTGAGCCAGGGATTTAGCTCAGCAGTGTAGGCACCTGCCTGACAA